CTCTCTCGTAGCTTCTTTTTTTTCTTGCGGCTTCTTACTCTCTTGCTCGCTCACTCAATCTTGTTTTCTCCCTGTGTTGCCGTCTTCCCCTCCATCCTCCAAACCTTCTCTCCCTCCCTCTCTCTCAGTAAATGGTGCTGAGCCAAAAACTAATTATTACAGGCAATCATTTCGACATGAAAGGCCCACTTCCTGTTCAGCGCTCTCCTCCCTCCCTCTCTCTCTCTCTCTCATTTTCTTCCCCCTTCAACTGTTTTTATTCTTCTACAGTCACATAATGGCAACACACACACACACACACACACACACACACACACATACCCACAATAATTTCATTCCTTGTTGAAGTCCATTTTGTGAGGGAAGTGTTATTGCTTTCTGAGTGCAACTTCGGGGTCTTTCCTGTAAGCGCAATAAGTGTCCATAGCTACACTGTGTGTGTGTGTGCACGCGTGTTTATACATTTGTAATGCTGTTGTACAATTTCTGGAGGACTATGACAAATACACAGGACTGATGCATTCAGTATAGAGGGTTTTTTTTCCTGACAATCCTGTAGTGATATTTATGAACATGCACTCGAGAACGACCACTCAGTTCTGCTGTGAATGCTCATTTTCATGCAACTTAAACTACAGAAATGTCCCAACATGCTGTGATTCAGAAACGGGAGCTGATAGTAATAGCATGTATTCATGACCTTAACAACCTTAAAGCACTGCTGGAGGGGTAAGACCTGGCTCAGTTTAGAATTAGAATTAGGTTTAGGTTAGGGGAGGGATTGTGGTTAGACATTGAGTTGAGATGGTTAGGGTTAGTGTAAAGGCAGTCGGAGACTAAATACATTCAAGTCTAGTGGGGGAAAAATGCCACTGTTTGACTGCCTGAGTAGTCAGTCAGTCAGTAGTAGTTCTCTCTTGCTGTTTCATAGATGTCACAGTCAACTAGTTTGTTGATTCATGGGAAGATTTTAACTAAGTTTTGCTGTGCTCACCTCTGTGTGCTGGATTGGGGCATAATGAACACATATTTGTTTGGCCATTCTACTTTGAAAACCTGGTTTTCTTGGTTAGCGCTTCTTCTTTTCTTTGCACATTTGGATAGTGACATCCTCACCGCATTGTCGGCGTAATGTGCACTGACAGAAGAGCCTTGCTTTATCGTGCACGGAGGACAGAACGCGGGCTAACTCAGGCACCTGTTAACCGACCCTTGAGCTCTGTCACTTGTTGATGTTAGACGTCATACGCTCGCCAGCTGTCATTTGTTGCCGTGACAATGATGTCAAACAGGGAAACAATGACGTTTAGCCTTATTCTCGGGCCGGGATCGCCAAGTAGACCATATTCTACATAATGAACAATTTGACAAGTATAAAACTTTTTTCAAAATAGGAAACGTACACTTCATTACGTTTTATTATTACATTCCTAATGTGAGGTGTGCTCTGGGTGTGGGTTGACTTGGCATTAAGAAGCCCTGGGCTAGGGAATGCATTATGTCAATCAGTGTCCTTACAACGTGTGTGTGTGTGTGTGTGTGTGTGTGTGTGTGTGTGTAGTCATTGCTCTGCTTCTCCAAGCTCATCTCAAGTTTACATTGTGATGAATGCACAACAGCCGTGCACAAAAACACACACACACAGTCGCATTAGTTCTCAACCCAGCTGTGAGCAACTTTTGCCGAGAGGCAATTCCACTGTAATAAAATCTATAGGGTGGGGTGGGGGTGGGGGTAGTGAGTTAATCCTCATTTCCTCCTCCCTCCTCTACCACCTTCCTCTCCCACTCTTTGTCCTGCTTCACTCCCTCTCTCCCCTTGTCCCTCTCTCTCCTCAACTGGCTGGCAATGATAAATGAGTCAATTATGTGTGTGTGCATGCGGCGCTGGAGAAGGGGAGCGGATGGGACCATTATTACCTGTTGCGGCTGGGGGTAATGTTGCAGTATTAATCATATTCTAATTTTCCTCTGCCAAATGACACCCCCACACACACACACACACACACACACGCACACAAACACACTAAACTTCGTCTCACCTCACCACACCACAGCCCCCTTCTATCAATCTATCTGCTGCCTGCAAACAACTCGGCGTAAACTGCCGAGGGCCCAAAACATAGTACCTCTCTGGGGAGAGAAGGGAGGGTTGGAGGTAGAGCAGAGTGTATATTTCTGTTTTTGTGTGAGAGGGAGAGAAGAAATGGGGTGAGAGATGATGTGCGAGTTGCAGAGGTAACAAGGGAGGTGTTTGTGTGCTTCAAGCTGACACATTTAGAAATGGAAATATGTGTGTTGGCAGATCCAGCCATTGGCACTAAATGGTTTTAGAGGACACCAGGGACATGTTTGGGTGCAAGGAGAGAGAGGACAGACAGAAATACTGGACACATGGGACAGGTGTTTGGCTGCTGCTGTCACCTCAGAGGTGTGTATAGTTGTTTTTACACTGAGAGCCCACGCTACTGCTGTTCCATAGGGTCGCCACTAACCTGCCCTTGTGCTGTTTATACCGGCCTTAGCCTGAGCTCTATGATTGCGTTCCGGCCTGTGAACTCAAACAGCAGGCTGAGACTCTATACCAGAGGCAGGACACAACGTGTTGTCAGCTGTAATGTAAATTTTGTGCCGGTAGTCTACAAACTAAAAAAAAACTACGGTGGGAAACGCAAGTGCGGATGTAGCTTTGTTGGCTCTTCAAGCATTTTTTCCACTTAACTCAAAATTGGCTAGCGTGGTTCTTGCTATGTTCGTGAATGTCGTGTAATAACTGCAGTCAGTGCAGTTCATGACATCAGGAATGCTTTGACCTGTAACTTAGAGAGAAGCCGTGAACAGTTCGAGGCAGAGAGGCGTGCAGACTTGAGAAAACGAGATGGAATCAAGGCGTACCAGTCCTGCCCCGAAAAGGCAGTGTGCCTGTGTAGAAAGGCTTCAACAACAGGCGTCGCTGTCGCTGTAGCAGCCTGACTGGTTCACAGACTGAGCAACACACGGGTCACGTCTTGAACATAAGAAGGAAAGTGATTGTTAAAGCTGAAAAAAAGGCAGATTCACTATGTAGTGAGACAGAATTGGCACATACTTTGACTTCAGTGAAACTTGGCAAAATGTGCTGTCGAAGGTGAAAGTTAAGGGGAACAGGTAGGCGGACTGGCTGGTAATTGGGGAAGCAGCAAAATGAGGAGGAGTGGAGGGCACATGGACAGACTGAAAATTGTCCAGAGAAGAATAGAGAGAGAGAGAGAGAGAGAGAGAGAGAGACACCTTGGATGTGCCTGCCTGCAGTCTTGGCTGGATTTCAGGCTCCAAGCGTGACTTGGTCTATTTCTGCTCTGCTCTGAGGTGATAATGGGCTGTCAGCACCCCAGTCACCCTGCTCCCTCCTCCCCCCTGAGTGTGTGAGAAAGAGGGAGAGTTTTGGGAGCTGTTAAGAGGGATGTGAGTCATTTTTTTTGTGTTGCTAATTGCATTGTGTATTTTTATTTGGAATATGATACAAAATCAGAACTCACTTTATTTGTGTCACCTCTCTCTGTTGCAGTTTAAAACTGGAGTGTGAGAAACTGGCCACAGAGAAGACAGAGATCCAGAGACACTATGTTATGGTGAGACAAACACACACACACACACACACACACACACACACACACACACACACACACACACAGAGGCTCTCTCTCTCTCTGCATACACTCCCAACAAATGCAGTGCCAAGTCCGCTGAATCCCTTTCATCTGCTAACAGCTGCCAAACAACACCCACCAAAAACCACACACAAGACCCCCACCACACACACACACACACACACACACACACACACACTTGTATTATACGACTGCAGAATAAACAGCATTTACATGGGCATGCAGTCTCGAGCTTGTGTTTGCAAGTGTTTTTTTTAGATTTGTGAGCTGTTCCTGTGTGGCTGCTTGTGTTGAGAGAAAAATTAATATTTGAGATCTTTGACTTTTTATGTTAAATGGAAAAAAAAAACTATTAGTAAACCTTGATTATAGCCAAAGTAACACATTCACAAACCCAGGTAACACACTGGCACTTGTATTGTTCCTCTTTCAGGTTTTAATTCAAGCTCAGAGTAAAAGGTTTATAATCTGATGTGCTGGTGGTTCATGCAATTTTGGTCAGTTTGCTATTTTTATTGTATAGTATCTACTGTGTTGACTCATTCAACTTTTCTTTTAAGTAGAAATCAAGTGTGAATATTTTCTGTTTTTATGATGTAACGTGAATAATTTATACTGTTGGTTTGACAGAAGCAATTTGGAGATGTCGGCTTGGACTTTGAGAATTTATGATGGTTTGTTTAAAGTTATTTTATGACGTTATTGATCAAATGTTTAAATGGATGATGCAGACTCCTATACTCTAACCAATAACTTAGGGAGACTTTTTGTTGTTTCACTGTCTCGCAGCTATTCAGTCATCCCTGTTTGTCTGATCACATGGGTTGTGTTCTGATACTGCCGCTTGAAGTGGACACTTGTTGCTGATAGTCTGGTTAAGTTTTATGCTTTTGCATCTGATCGGTGAGGGCAGAGGAAGTTGCAGAGTTGAATATGTCACAGTGCTTCCTAAATTTCACCACTGCAGATGAATGAAGCACAGACTCTCTTCTCTACAGAAAGCCCTGAAGCATAACGTCTTCTCTGCAGCACTCGGTGTGAATATGTGGAGCTCTATGATTGTAATGAATACATGATCAGCAGATCTTTTTTGGGGGGTAAAGAAAAGTCCAGAACTCTTTTGTCTGTCTTTGTTTTTAAATCTACAAACCTCCACCCTGGATTTACCTGTAATCAGAAGCAGACACGAGTACCGCTGACTGAGTGTATGCTGCCCAGAAATGGCTGCGCCAGGAAAGAGCTGTGTGGCAATCTTGGCACAAAGCAGGGACTGCTGCGGGGATTGAAGTTTCAATGAGGGGAGGAGGGGTTATCTGGCATCAAGCACAGGCCAGGTCTCCTTTCCTGGCTGACGATTTGGGGGAGTTTGGATGTTGCTAAGCAACAGGCGAAACTTGGCACACCAACTGCCAAGCAGAGTTGCCAGCTGCCAGGAGAGGCGTCTTTTATGGAGGCACACAGAAACACACACAGAAAAGATGAGAGCGCGCACACACAGCAAACCATGCCCGCAAAAGTGCACAGATACACACCTACACAGTTGTAGACTGCCACACACACACACACACACACACACGCACACACACACACCTGTGCGCACACACACACGTGTGCTAACGCAGCATTAAGATGTCTGGAGAGAGAGGACCCCTGCCATCTCCTCTCCCATCCTGCCAGGCTGTTCTGGCTGCCCAACTGCCAATCTCCTCTCTCCACAACCAGTCACGCTGAAAAGCAAATGTCAGCCTGTCACTTTTTGAGGCATCTGACTTTAAAATGTTCCTTTTTTTTCCTGAAGGTAGAGAGACAGAGTCTAAGAGAGAGCTCCTCACCTGTCTCTCTCTCTCTGCAGCATTCATTTCCTCCTGCAGCCCTCACAGCATCTTATACTTCTGGATAAAACACCGGGTCAAAAAGCCCACACTAGACATGATTATTGTAATAGTCTGTCACCTTCTCCTGCCCAGTGACAATTTGCTTCTGGCTTCCAAAACTCCCCTAAGGGTCATTTTAGAGCTGCTGACTTTCTGCAGAGAAATTAGCGGTGATGTGCTTTTAGGGACATATGGGCACTTCACAGTGCACATGCTTGGGGTGACGACATCTGAAGCTGGAAGCACAGGAAGAGTAATTTTATGTAACAGCAGAAGTTAGATGTTTTGAGCCATTGTTGGCTCTTGTCTCAAAGAAAGTCTGTGTTTTTAAGAAATGTAAAAGAGCAAAACAAACAACAAATGAATCTTTTTAATACTTTCTGACTTCCCTGCTCAGTCTGTGGCACTGTCCTACAGAGGACATTAATCTTTTAAACATAATTCACAACAATACAGTTTCAGTCATTTCCTAAAACTGCTGTTGTGCTGTAATTTTTAGAAAACAATCAGGAGTAAACGGTGCATTTGTTTGGAACTATTTATAGCTGCAGATTGAAACACAGCTGTTTGGTTAGAGAGTATAGGGCTTTTAATGGGGATTTAAATGGGGAAGTATAATCACCAGACCTGGGCTAAAACTTGTTTAGTTTTACTGAAGGAATTAAATAGCGTGCCATAAATTTAACATGCTATTTTTTGTGAAGATTCATCAGGTGTAATGATTCAACTTTAATGTAAAAAAAACAATTTTTTTTGCAAATGTTGTCTTTTTTTTTGTAGTTTACATTGAGTTGGGATTTAAAATGCATTTCCAGTGAGCTCTTTGTTTTTAATTCCAAAACTGTTTCAAATGATCAGTTTTACTTACTCACACATGAAAGCTTGTCACTCTCCTCATTGTGGTTTATGTATGATCGTGTATTTACTAACCAGCGTTCTCTGTGTTTCAGTATTATGAGATGTCCTATGGCCTTAACATTGAAATGCACAAACAGGTGAGTGAGCTGTGTCTCTTTCTTTCTCTGCATCTCTGTCTCTCGCCCCCCTCTGATTGCCCTTCTGCGTCTTACGCCTAAATTTTTAGATTGTTCTCTCGAAATCTCATCAATGCCTCACTTCCTTTGCCTATCAGCGCTCTCTCTGGTGCACCTACTGTCTATAGTGTGCTGTGCTATGGAGGCATTAATAGTATCCTCAAACAGAATTCGTTTCTCCACCTCAGGCAGATGACTGCTTTGCCTTTACCTGAGCCTCCAGAACCGCTTCCTCTCTCACCCGTCATAAATCCATGTCTGGTACTGCCTCTCTGCTCCATCCTACCCTGCTTCTCCATCCTCTCTCCCTCTTTTCTCCTTTCCATGCAATCATTGGTCTTACTTTTTTTTTTAAAAATGCTCCTCTCTTAATCTCCATTTCTTCACCATCCCTGTCTCCCTTCCTTCCCATTGATTTCCTTTTCTCTCTCCTTTTCTTTGTACATCCTCCCTCCACCTCTCTCCTTGCAGACATACAGCCCATGCTGAATTTCACTTTAAATCAGGTCACTGCCTTCCTGCCTTCTACTCTTACTCTCTCTCCATTCATTTCACCATCTCAATCGTCTCGCTTTTGACGTGCTGCTGCTGCCACTCCACCTCCCCGTTCGATTCTTTTCCTCCCCCGCCTTCCTTCTGTTTCTCCTTTCTCTATTTCTTTACTGCCTCCCACTTCCTTCATTCATTGGCTGTTATATCCTCAACCTGATCTGCCCTTTTCCTCTTCCTCTTCCTCTATCTTTTCATTCCTCCATCCCATTTTGTCCTCCCCTCTTTATCCTCTCTCTCTCTCTCTCGATTGCTCGTTTTCTCTCTCTCCTGAAGATGTCATTTAGTAGTTGGAGTTCTCTAACAAGAAATCATTGTGTCTCCCTTGGGATGGGGGTGAATTCAGAGGAGGGGGGGAGTGGAGGAGCAGGGAGCATGCTGCCTGGCAGAAAAATGAAGGGAGGGAGGGAGAGATGTGGGCAAGCAAGAGGAATGAGAGAAAAAGAGCACATGAGAGAGGAAGAACGAGAAAAAGGAGGGGGTGGAAGTTCAATCCGACATCAATAAATCACTTAAGAGAGAGAATGAGGTGGGGTTTTGTGTGTGTGTGTGTGTGTGTGTGTGTGTGTGTATATACGTACACGTGCGCGTGCACACAGAGCAGGGTCTAGCTGTCAACATGACAAACAGCCTGCGGTCATAATGATGTTGTCATGATCTCCGCATGCATATCATTACTGGCCCTAGCGCCCTTGTTGAACCTGCTGCTAAACGTGCTTGTGTGTGCATTAGACGTCACATGGCAACATTTGTAACACTGATTGCTGCGCTAATACTGGGAAGGGACAAATGGAACAAGGGATGGATGGAGTGAGATGGAAAGAAAGAAATGATGAGGGGGAGGGAGAAATAGCTGGCTGTGTAGTAGAGCAGATCGAGACAGACACACACCCACAGCAAGAATCACTGACCCCCAGCAGGAAACATAGACATACACACTCAAGCATGCAAAATGCAAACACACACACACAAACAGACATGCTATGCTATGGCGCATCAGAAATTCTGCACGTACACACACAGAGGAAAAAAAATAGTGTGTCTTGAGTCTTCTGTCCTTCTAACATGCACACCACAGTGTGTGGGCTGGCCATGGCCACAGCAGATGCTGTCCATGAATATTTTAGCCAAACTCCCTGGCAGAGTTTCCATTTGCATGGACCAGATGTAAGCAGCTGAAATATTTACCACACTGGGCCTGGGAGAAGCAGGCCACAGACACAGTGTGTGTAACCTTTGTTAGTGTGCTTGTGTGCGTTTTCTTTGTTTGTGCTCCATCTTGGCCGTGCAAGTGTGTGTATCTGTGTTTATTCATCAAAGTGACAGTTTCTTTTTTTTTTTTTCTTTTTTTCTTTCAGACGGAGATTGCCAAGCGGTTGAATGTGATCTGTGCACAGCTCATCCCATTCCTGTCACAGGAGGTGTGACACACACACACACACACACACACACACACACACTGTCTGACAGCAGCCCACACAGAAGGCATGCACATGCATACACATGTTTGTCAATGAATCGCAGCCACGCACACACAGTGCTGCAGATGGACAGAACTTCAGAGCACATTCATTTTCCTCTATTGCCAAACGTTTGCACATGTTCACGATTCTCCAAGCACAATAGTATTTAAAGGATGCTTTTTTTTTTTTTTATTGTAATATATAAATGTTACCTGTAGGCAATAAAAATTCAGTTTACATCAACAAAACGGTGACTTCAAACCAGTATGTAGTTCCAATTGCCCTCTTGGTTTGTTCCACAGCACCAACAACAGGTGGTCCAGGCCATGGAGCGCGCCAAACAGGTGACCATGGGGGAGCTAAATGCTTCGATAGGGGTACGTGGGCTCCCCCCTCTGCCTCATAGCGTGTGTACCTTATACTCCCATTTATTTATTTTTCCTCCTTTTTCTTTTATTGAGGCAAACATCATTGGCCCACTCTAAAATACGCAGATGTATTGGCTGGGTTTGATTCAATCGTATGGTCTGTAGTACCTTCAAATTTTTTGTAAATGCAAATATTATTCTCAGTGAAATCAAATGTTTCAGCTGTAGTTTATTTTTCTCCTCAGTTTCCAATTCTTAATGTTTCTGCAGAGCTTCCCCTACTAAAGAGCCACTGCCTTGTCCCACTTATTTCTTCTCTAGTGCACATCGCAGCACTTAGTTCCCTTTCTTTCCTTCCTCCTTTCCTCCTCTTGATGACTTCCTGTTAAACCACTTCCTCCAGTGCTTTTAAGTCACCCAAGAGATTCACCTCTCTTTCACTGTCTCCTTGCTCTTTGTTTCTTCTGCTGTTCATTCTGTCTACAGCAGCAGCTTCAGGCTCAGCACCTCTCCCAGCATGCCCAGGGTTTGCCAGTGGGACCACATCCATCAGGACTGCCCCACCCCAGCCTGGCGCTCGGCGGAGGGTCCGGCCTGCTGGCCCTGTCCGGAGCTCTGGGGGCCCAGCTGGCTGCCAAGGATGAGAGAGCTCACCTCGACCCACCCCAGCCTGGCGCTCGGCGGAGGGTCCGGCCTGCTGGCCCTGTCCGGAGCTCTGGGGGCCCAGCTGGCTGCCAAGGATGAGAGAGCTCCCCTCGAGGCGGCAGCAGCTGCTGCAGCTGCTGAGCACCACAGGGGTCTGTTTTCTTATTTTTATTTCAGTTTGTATTTCTCAGAGTACAAGTGTAAAAACTCTTGATGAGTCTGGGGCTGAGACAAAGCACTAGATTGCATTCTTGGACATGAAAACGTCTCACTGAGGTGGGATTAGAGTAAACACTGAAACCTTGGCTCGATGGATTCTGTTGGTTGGCTTTGCTTTGGGTTTTTGGCAGGGCACAGGAGTGTTGCTGATAATAACACTCCTCAGGGATATTTTTCCACTGACTCATCAGCTGCAGAGTGATGTAAAGTGCTGGCTGATAATCTTGTGTTTGTGTGTGCATGTCCTTTGCGGCCTTGTATCCTGCTACCTGGACGTTTTGGGTGCTGGTTCCTGGACTGAACAGACCGTGAAGCTGGACCTGTGAGTACAAAAGGACTGTACAATCTCAGATATGTATCATGTGCGCTCACACTTGTCCACCCCTTTGTTTAGAAATTTGTTTATATTGTAAGAAAATTCAGTGTTGTACATGAACATAATGTGCTTTTTTTTTGGCTTGTTAAAAAAACTAAATGTCAAAACACAGTGTTTAAAATACAGATATACATATTTTTCTGGTCCCCAGTGCATTTCACGGATGCTGGTACCTATATGACGGCTATAAATTATAATACATTTTACATTTAAACAGACTACCAGTCAAAGTGTGGACACACTTTCCAGCTGAGAGTGTGTCCTAACTTTTTATCCAGCAGTGTGTCAACACTGCTGTAAAATTGTCAAAGAACACTTGGTGGCAGAGCCGAGTGCCTCCAGCCTTTTCTTCCTCCTAAAGAAAACCTGAATCTTTCTCTTTCTTCCCCTCACTCCCCCAGCGAGTCCCACAGTGAGCAGGCCGATCGATGCGGCCTGATATTCTTTCACATTCATCTCCACAGCTTATGAGCCTGACATGATTTATGCAGTCCCTCTCACCTCATTATCACCCTCTTCCTTCCTCTTTGCCCTCACGCTTTCCTCCTCCTCCCCATGCACCCTTCTCTTTTCTCTTTGTGTCACTCTTGCGCTCTCTTTTCCCAACTTGATCCACCCCTCTCCTCTCTGCAGAGTTGTCTGTCCAATGGGGACAAGGGTCGCCCAGCAGACTACCTCAGCAATGGCAAGAAGAGGAAAGCTGATGAGAAGGAGTTCATGACAGACTATGTGAGGATGCTTTCATAACGCTGTCAAACATTTAAGTAACCGAGGGAATGTTTCCTGCAGCTCTGCCAGTCCTGGTGTCTGTAGAGTGGACTTTGGAGACCTGAACTCTTTTTTTAGGCTGTGATTGAAATAATCTATGCTCCCTGCTATTAATATTTCAGCAGAGCAGGTGTATTAAGAACTGTAAGGAGTTTTTAGTGCAAGATAAATGAGTTTTGGGTAGTTATTTTCTTATCAAGTTCAGCATGATTGCTTTGTTTATCCTGAAATATTAAAAACCCGATTAATGCCTCAGGATTTTACCTCTCTGTGTTAAACATCCAAAATTAATAACATTTGATTGTATTTACTTTCACACATTGCAGGCAATAAAATGTCAGGATTGTTTCTTTTTCCTCTATTTGCAGTCCAACTGATTAAAGCTTTTGAGAATGAACTAAAAATGCATTAAATTACAACACACACCTACAGACCCCTCTGTTCTGTTTGTATATGTGTTTGTGTGATGTATTTCTACATGTCATCTACGTACATCAGTATGTCTAATCTCACTCCGCCCCTCTCTTCTCGTGCAGGGCAGCGATGCAGATAAGAGTGATGATAATTTGGTGGTGGATGAGGTTAGTAGGTGGTCGCTGGTCTCTGTTGGCCGCACTTCACCACTTTCATCCGCATACATCGTGTACACACACCCGGCTGGGCCATATGAATAATAACAGTATTACTCCCCGTCCTCCTCCACAACATGCGCATGCACTTGACCTGCCAGTCATGCTGCCTAGACGTTTAAAGCACCTTGATGTAGAATTCTTTATGTATGGCTGTTTTATAAATGGGTGAAGAACAGTTTGCAAGTAAGACAAAAAAAAATGTTGACCACACATTGAGTCCAGTTTTTTAAAGGTTTTTGTTTCTGACATACATGTAAATAGGATAATAATGAGTGAACCTGTACCCCTCTGAGGCAAGCTTTTACATTGGGTGGGTCTTTGTGGAAAAACTTCTCCAGTGCCAGGAAATGATTTCACTACAGCTGGTTTGAAATCAATAGAGTCTGAGCTGAATAGTTGGCATGAGCTGATAAATCCACAGTGGCTGTGCAAGCTAAGAAAATGTGGAGAAAAAAGGGAAACTGATGGATTCCCAAGTGATCTGCGGCCTTCAGGACTAAATGCTGCAGAAAGAATGAGAAAGAACTTATTTCAGTCTTGTGTAATTAAGTTTTTTCTTTTTGTGTTATGGGAATACAGGACCCGTCATCCCCCCGCAGCGTGCAGTCGTACTCATCCAGGGAGAACGGTTTGGACAAGATGCCTCCCTCTCGTAAGGAGGGTCCGCCACAGGCCAGCCCCACCTCCCTGGCCTCGTCCAGCAGTGCTGCCTCCCCCTCCCGTGGCAAAGAGCCCCCACAGGTAGATGGACATATCTGTATGAGTAGACATCACATGTAACCATAGAAAGACAAATGTTCATCATTTTTGTGGCACATATGCAGCTGTCGATGGCGAGCACGTGTGTCAGTGTAGGACATCAGTGATTCCGTGGTGTCAGCACTCATTGTGTTCTGCTGTCATGTTCAGGGTCAACATTCCTCGCCCAGTTACTATGCAGTATTTTCAACATATGCCCTCAGTCATTCAGTTTCTGTTTGTGTGCTGTTCTTTGCCATGTGTTGTCTTTTTTTTCCTAACACATTTTATTTTTTACTATTCCAGAGGGAGAAGTCCAGTACTCCAGGTATGAAGCCGGGCACCCCCATGTCTCAGGAGTCCAACACTCCTGGACCCAGCGGACCCCCGCAGTTCAGACCTGTCCCGGGCAAGCCTGGTGTTGACCCCCTTGGTAGGAGCTTCCTTTTATTCCCCCAAAGATCTTATCATCTGTACTTTATTCTTAAAAGGCAGCAGTAAACTTGACATCAAGTGAAAGTGTTAAACATTTCCGACATTACTGGAAAGACTGTAAAATTGTTTTTTTTTTTTTTTTGCCATGTTGCTGAGGAAACCAAAAACCAAAATATTTCCAACCCTTCTCTTAAGACCTTGAGCTGCCACTGCACACAGGGGGTCTATTAATATGAATATGATGGGTTTTAAGCTTGTTCTCATTAAATGCAGCGATTCCATCAACATCGGGCTGCTGTAGTTGGTATGGGTGTCGGCCAGCTCCCCACCGTTGACCACCATCTGCACTTAATAAGCAGCTGTGGGCAAAAATATTCAGCGCGCCTCGTTTTTAAATGGAAAGATTAGGAGAGGTGATGGACTGTGACTGTGAGCTGCTTCGTGATGAGCCTCCATCTATTCCAGTGCATCTCTTGTCTTTTTCCCCTCCTCACGTAACCTGTTAGCTCTGGTTTTCTGCTTCCTCTCTCTCTCTCACACACACACACACACACACACACACACACACACACACACACGTACGTGCGCGCGTAGGTGCATCTACATGCTCAGACATAAGATACAGGCATATGAGAGCACATACTGATACTGGCTTGCTGCAGGATGGTGTGGTGGCCAGCAGGGGTCAGTAGTGGTCTTGTGCTGCGATCAGTGATGTGGTCTTCCCTTTTGTTGCAGCTTGTTCAACCTGTCAGTCACAGCTGTCTCACACACTGAAAGGCTCTGCAGAGTCCAGGCACCTTAACAGAACATGCAGCTTATCGTAGCATATGCTAAAGTGAAATATATAAATCTCTCAGAATGAGTGACACGCTGTGTTCTTTGCCTCAGTCAGTAATTTCTTTACTTAAATAATTCAGAGCAAATGAATTCTTTTGTCGTTTCCTCCTTCCATCAGCTCTAGGTCTCAGGAACCCCCTTGCGGTACAGGGAGCGTACCCTCCAGGGGCATTTGGCCTTCCCCCTCCAGGGGTGAACGGGGACCTGCCTGGGGCAGCGGGCTATGGCGCCGGCCTCCACCTGGTCTCCCCACAGATGAACGGAGCCGCAGTGGCAGGTGCCGCAGGCTACGGACGGTCCCCCGTGGTAAGCGAGATACTCAGCAGATCATTTCTTTCTAGTGTCACCAGAAACCTCAGCATATAAATCCATCGTTGAGGGCAAAAAAAAGGAATATATTGAAAAGAAAGGAACAGTTTAGTAGGAGAGGAGATGAAAAAGAGGCTGAATTGTCTTTTACCATTTGGAATGTCTGACCTTGACTCTCAGTGTCTCTGCTTTTATGTGATCTCATTTTATGCTGATCTTTTTTTTTTTATTACCGTTTCTGCTTCAATCATTTTTATTAGTTAACACTTCTCTTTTCCTCCTCTCTCCTCTCTAGGTATGTTTTTCAGGTATTTTCTTTCTCATGTTAGTCTCTCTGTCTGTTCCAGGTGGGCTATGAGTCTCCACACCCACACATGAGGGTCCCCGGGCTGCCTGCCAGCCTGCAGTCAGCTGCCTCCGGAAAACCGTGAGTTCCCTCCATCCTCGCCTGCTAATCGTTCAGATCTGCCCTTGTTCTTTATTACCTGCATGCAGGTTCTATTCAAATTTCATTTCAAACTGTAGAAGAGAAAAGATGAAAAGGGAAGGGAATATTTTAATAAAGAAAAAAAAGTTTGGCGTGTCCAGAATTTTGTTAGGTCAGTGACTAATCGTGAAATCACATCGTGTGTTCATACCTCAAGAGGTCTGAAGTAAGTGTTCACTCTTAAAGCACTTGAGAAATGTTTTCCCTTTAGTTGTTAGTCATGTGCCTTCCATTTTCTGACTCCACTTTACTTTGTTGTTTTATTTTTCTTATTTCGGCAGATGAATGGCCAGTGTAGACGACGTGGCGTCAGCAGTGTTTGCAGAGTAGTGCCTAAATACAGTGTTTTTCAGTTAGCCAGTAAATGTCAGACTTCAGTCTCTTAGTGTCAGCCTCTCATTTCATGCATTTCTGTGAAAAAAAAAAAAATGCCTGCACATAAAAGTCCTGTAACTTTTCTTTACTGGTGCTGTTTTTGTATGCCAACTAGTGGAAGTCTTTTTTTTTTTTTTTTTTTAACAGTTAGTCCACAACCACAGCGACGTGGATGTGATAAGCTTTTAAAATTCACATTTTGGTTTAGTTTGTT